TTCCTTTTTTTTTTTTTTTTTTTTTTAACGGATAGCTGGTGCAGGGATCCAAGCCCTTGACCTCAGTGTTAGTGTCAATTACTTTTAACTATCTTAGCATTTTCTTCTATATTTAAATAAGAATAATTTTATCAATTTTACTATTATCTTTTGGCTTTTCATTATGATAAATAAGGCTTTTAGTTCTCTTATACCTGCCCCATTCTCTTTAAAGAGTAATATCACAATTCTTGGTTAAATCCATAACTGTGTAAATATTGTCTATGTTGAGCTAAATATTGTAAACTATGGTTTCATTTGCTTCATATAAATTTGGGGGGTTATTTCTTTGAGTTAAAAGTTGTTGTTCCTCCCCTACACACACACACTTAATTCATTTTCTTTGAACTTAAGGTAAATCTTTCATCCTTTGTCATCTCCAGAATCTATTACTTCTATTTTTTTTTCCCCAAAGACCTTCCTATATTTGATCATTTATCCCAAAAGAACCCATATACTGTCTAAAAAATAATTGGTTTGTCAGCAAGGAAACTACATGGCAAAATTTGTTTCTGAAAGGTAGCTACTCCCTCCTGGTCTTCTTCCTCTCTCAAATGGCTTTATGGAGACCTGAGTGTTCCTGCCTTAATATCTGAGCTGTTTTGGAGACCTGAGTGTTCCTGCCTTACTATCTGAGCTGTTTTTTGTCTTATTGGTTTGACTGAAGAAAAGATCAGTAATTGAATAAGGTAGTTCCTACTCTTTGGTAAACGTAAGGTTCTTTTTGTTTTAACACAGCATCTCATTGAAGTCTTATCAGCTACCTTGTAGCCTTCAGATCCTGTCTATAGTGCTGCAACGCTGAAAACAGATTTCCTTTCTGTGCCTGCAAAGTATTAACCTTCTGTCTGTAAGGCATCTGCAGCTGTCTACTCAATTGCACAGTGAAAATGACAGGTCCTTTAAAAAAGGAAAAAGTTAGATCTTTCTGGGTTCAGGTTGTTTGCTCTATCTGCTTTCTGTTTAATAACTTTCTACGCAAGGGTTTCCTCTTCTTGCTTACCCTTCATCTTACTGATTTTCTGTGATTCCTGTCTTTGCCATTTTATAATTCCAAAAATCATTCATTCATCAAGCGTTTATTGATTGTTTACTATGTGCGAGGCACTTTTCTAGGTGCTGGGGAAATAGGAGTAAACAGCATATTCAGTACCCCTGCTCCCATAGTGCATATTCTAGGTAGGAAGATAAGCAAAACACAAAGTTTTTCTAAGTGTGGTAAGTGCTATGAAAAAAATAAAATTAAACAAGAAAATATGATAAAGAGTGATTGCTCCTGACATACATAAGGGAGTCAAGGAAGACCTCTACGAGGAGGTAACATTTGAGTTGAGAATTCAATGAGCAGGAGCCAGCCATGTGGAGATAAGAGGGAAAACCAGTTGAGGTGAAAGGGAACAGTAGTTTGAAGACACTGAGAGGAAAGACCTGAAATGAAGGCCTGTGAGGAGAGATTGGTAGGTGATGAGATCAGTGAAGACCAGAACCATGACATGGGGGACCTTGTGGACCACGATAAGGACATTGGACTTTATTCTATGTGCAGTGGGAAACTATTGGAGGGTCTTAAACAGGGGAGTGGTATGGTCTGATTTACATTTCAAAAGATTACTCTGGGTGTTACGGAGAATGGGGGACCGATGCACTCACT